CCCCTGCGGGAGACACACACACACACTCCCGTCAGAGTCACAGTATTATACACATAGCCTCACGCTGTACACACACTGCTCTGAACATTGCGCTCTGATTGCCCAGAGCCCATTCCCTGGAACACACTCGTCAACACTCACCTTAACTCTCCAGGTAAAAGAAAAATTGTGTAGGATAATTAAAAAGCCAAAGAAAAGGTTCTTCCACAGCAAAGTAAAAAGCCCCCATCACCCACCTAACTCTCCACTCCAAAACACGCAAGACTCACGGGCAGGCTAATGCACAGCTAATTAACCAACACTGACATGGAGACATTAAGCAAGAAAGAGCCCTGTGGTGTCACTCACTGCACTCCAGCCAGCAATCCACCTGCTCCTCCTCTGAAGACCTGGCTCAACAGATCAACGCCGCTCTGTCAACACTACTCTGAGTCCCATGGGACTTTCCAGACCCCCCCCCCCCTTCCAACAGGAAAGAGCACCAACGCTTTTTTGGGGTCCTGGAGACTGGGGACGCCCAGGACTTTCTCAAGCCAGAACCATTCCACACGTCTCCAGCAGAAGGAGAGAATTCTAGGAGCATGCAAGCCCACCTGCACACGTACCTGGAGCTGGGGGATATTCTGATGCGAAAGTGACACAGTAGCTTGTCTGGAAGAGCACATAGTTTCAGTTCTCCATTAGTGAGCTGGGGGTGGAGGCAGGGAGGAGGAGGGGGAGGGGGGCTTGCCGTGTGTGTGTGTATGAAAAACATCTGAAACCTTTGCTGGGCTTCCTTCAGGCTGGATGCAGTATGCAGAACCCCAGTTGCAATTTTATGACTGGTCTAAACTCAGATATGACTTGAGCTGGCTCTGCAGCTCTGCATCTCTTGTGTTAGAAGGCCTGTAACCCATGGCATCGTCATCTCTATTAAGAAAAGTGGTGTTGGAGATTTAGGACCGGTGCTCACAATCTACACCTCAGATCTGAGGAATCACATGAAAAACCACTTTCAATCTCCTGCTCTTTGCACTCGACACCCTGCTACATGCGATTCATGTCTCTTTCCGTTTCTACTTAAGCAAGGTTCTTACTTGCCACCGAATTTATTCCTATGGGAAAAAAAAACAATGCACGAAAAAGTACTCATAAGAAAAAAATGAGGTGAATATCGAAACCTGTGCAAAATCTGTCAGACAGACGCCTTTGCTTTCAATTGGAAGAACTATTTTCTAAAGCAATCTCTCTCTTGAATGAAACAATATACTGAGCTCTACCACACTACACGGCCCCGTGTGAGGGGTGAGGGGCTACAAATGTGGAAAAAAACACAGCTCACCAAAAAGTGAAGACACAAACACACCTATATCTCATAATACAGCTTTGTGCGCCATGCAGGGCCTGACATAGACGCTGATGCAAAAGGACACTATTGCATTGGCTCTGTGGGGAAACCAAATTTACTCCTGTAGCTCTACTCCTGGTCTTTTTCTATTTAGCTGGGTTCTTGATCTTGTGTGCTTTCTAACGTCCTTTTCCTTCCATCCATTATCATCCATCTTCTAACGGCTTCTTCCAATTCAGGATCGCGGGGGAGCCAGAGCCTATCCCAGCACGCAACAGGAGCAAGGCAGGGAACATCCTGGACAGCACACACACACTCATATCTCGGACCACTATTCCCAGAAGTCAACTTACAGTACCTACCAGTATGCCTGGAAATGGGTGAACCTGGAGGATCCCCACGCAAAAACGGGGAGAACTCCATGCAGAGAGCACCCCAGGTCTGGGACTGAGCCCCAGCACTGCAAGGCCACGATGTTATCCAAACTGAATTCAAGAAAAGCGGTTTTCTTTTAAAACGGTGTAGATCAAACTTTTAAAAACCAAGGTACTGCCAGGACACTGTCACTCTGAAAGTGGAACAGTCTCATACTGCAAAACCGCCTGCTTAGCTCTCAATTTCTGTTCTTACTCTGGTGCCGCAGTGCCACTGAAGGGGCAGTAGTGGGCGCTGTTGCGCTGCAGCATTTTTTTTCTGCCCACAGACATGACCCACATGCCAGCTTCCAGCTCAGCACTGGACAGGAACAGGGGAGTTATTCAGAGGTCTGTGATGCTGAACACAGAAATGATCGGAATCTTACTGTTTACAGCTGGGACTGAAATAGCCCTGCTGTGGATTTACCAAAGGCAAACATTATCTCTGTAACCATGTGGGTCTGGTACAAGGCGATGTGAACATGACTTCACGCTTTAAAAGAAAAGCTGGTGCTCAGAGATTTCTGGTTTCTTAATTAATGATCATTCTTCAAAAACACCCGAACGGGTGATTCAGAAGCATTTATCATTTTCGCTTCAGGGTTAGAGGGGAGCCATTTCTGCTTCAATCGCGCACACAGACAGAAAGAGAAACTGTGGCCTCCTGTGTACCGAACTGAAACTCCGGCACCTTGGGATCTCGCTCACTGCGACTGGACCGCAAGCTCAGAGGCAGGCAGGATTCGCGGCGCACTGGAGAGGAGCTCTCTACCCCCAAGGGCAGGGCTGATTTCATTTTGAGTGAGATCAACAGAATGTTCTTTTTCGCATTCCCACCCCGAGCTGCCTCCTTCGCTCTGCTGCTCTTTCAGAGCTCGTCCGATTTCCCATCGAGTAAAATCGCCACTGGTCGCAATAAAACCAGCCACCCCCTTTTCAGCTGCACCACCCTGACTCTGTCTTAAAGGATTCGATCCCACAGACAGCAGCTTCGCCCCACTGGCCTGTCAGCCAGGCACAGACAGCCCATGTCTGCCCCTGAGTCTCCTCCTGTACTGAGCAGGACTACAGCTGCGAGACGACCTCATCGGGCAAATGATCTAACCTGCTGGTCAAGCCCAGATCACAGATACCGCCAGTGGAAAATTACCCAGAAGGCACTTGGAAGATGAAGACAAACGAGAGAGCGCTGGCAGCCGGTAACAGCTCTGACTCACAGAGACACACAGAGGGTCTTTCGGGACAAGGGTTTTTAATGCCCCTCCCTGCACTCATCACGGGATCTAAACAGGCCATTTGGACAAACCTGCTGTTTTTAAAAGCAAAGCGGCCATCTGACATTCTGATGTGATCTCAGGAAATGTGATATGTTAAATACCCTTATCAGCTGTATTCGACAAGACATACGACAGTGTCATTATCCCAGACACCAGAATACACAACGTTTTACATTTGGATAGTTCTTAGCAGTTTGCAAAGAAACAAGTAGTAGGTTTATTCCATGCTCAAAAGAGAAGAGAGACAACACAACGTTTCGGAGTTTGCTCACTGACATGTAGGGAATGAAGCTACGTGTGTTTAGTGTATCTGCCATTCGCAGTTTGAGAGAATGGGGGTGGGGGAGTCCCTTTACAAGGCAGCTCAAGTGTCCGATGGCGTCCTTGTGGCCGCGGTCTGGAAAGGAGGAGGAAGAGCGCGGCAGGGCCTTCCAGGCTGTCACACTCCTCTAGTCCAGTCTTCGTGGGGAACTTTCTGGCTCACGGTTCCACACTCCACTCCAAAGAAACTCCACAATGGGTGGGAGCAGGCCCACATCGAGCATCCACGGCTCTCTTGGCTTTAAAAAAAGGGCCATGTGGCACATTAAAAGATTGCATACTGTACATCGCAGGGGACAACCCCACATCGCCTGTTTGTCAGTGCTTCGAATCTTCCTGGAGATGTTATCAGATTCTGTCTCCACATTCTGTCTCAGAAATACACGCAGGGCTGTGAAGTGCTCTTCGCTGGGAAATTCAGAAATGATACCTGTTCCCTTACTGTATAAAAAGGAGGCTGGTCTAATAACATGACACTAAAAAGCCTCTTTATGCCAAGGGTAGTGGGAGTATGGAACAGGGGAGACCTAGCCAATGTGGTTGAAGCCAGTACCTTGGCTTCCAGCTTCTTCGAAGGCTCCAGAGCCGAAACGTTGTGTTTTCTTTCTTCTCTTTTCAGCATGGAATAAACCTATCACTTGCTCCTTTGCAGCCTACGCATGCTGACGCAGCTCCCGACCTGAACTACTTCATATTGATCATATCTTACAGGTGCCAGACACCAGCAAGGAGTCCTAAAAAGACAGCAGTGTTACAGGCACGCTGACAGCCCGGAAGTTTCACGCGTGTTGTTTTTGTACAAGTTGCAGGCCGATGGAGCAGAGGAGCAAGTCCATTGGTATTTTAGCTCCACCTCTGTCTAGGCAAATTTACTCAAATTAAGGTAGCAAGCATGAAGCACCATACCGCCTGCAGCTCATTGGATCTCAAATTGCAGCAAGGGGATTCCCACCCTTGTGATGCTTTCATAGTTCCTGACAATTAAAAACCATTAAAGGCTTACTCTGGTCTGCCCAGTGCAGGGTAACTAACAAGTTGACAATCTACTGTACCCAGCATGCAGTCGCTGTGGCTTCATAAATGTAGAACAACTGGATAACCAACAATCCAGGTAACCTGGACTACAGCACACTGACACAGAGAGGTTCCAGTATTTGTTGCAAACAGATTTGTTCCAAACGCAGAAAAAGGCAGACGCTATTTGTGGTTGGCACAGCCTTGTCTTTGCTTACATAAGAAACTCACACACTGACAACAAAACATGCAGGCTTCTCGGTAGCAGAATTCAGGAAGCACAGACCTCAGATACCGCCACAAACAACGAGTTTTCCACTAGCAGGTATGGAAAGAGTCAGTATGCAGGCTCCTAGATCTTTCAGCCCCATTCTACAGAAACTAGGCCCATGTCTTTTCTTAGTCAATAAACATGCCCCAGCTTGAATCCCTAAACCCTAGTTTCGGGCTATTCATGTTAACCAAACAGTGTTGTTTTCACTTTTAGGTTTTTCACACAAGGAATCTGACTGTGTGCAATGCTCTGCTGCACTGTTGAAACATGTTCTCTCCTACTGCTGAAGCCCAAACAGAAGCCACAGGCCTCTGCTATTGCATGAGTCAAGCTGGGTTTAATATAATAACAACATGATTCCAGTCACTCAGAAGGCTCCATTAAAAAGGTGACATCATCTCGATTTTCCTGTAACTCAATTCAATTGTAATCCAATTCTCCTAATGTGCTATCATGCCATTCTGTTGCTCTCTCTGCTCAGGTTATTACTTTGCTATGCAAACTAACTTTCAGCTGGGCAAAGAACAGACTTCTGAACAGACTCCTCTTTTTTGTGTTGCCTGAAAAGCACTTTCAAAGATGCTTTGCACAGTCAAAAGGTTGCCCTGCTTTTTTCTAACTCCATAAAACTCCTGCTAATTTTCTACCACTATGATTAAGAGAGAAAAAATAGCAATATTCCCAGTCTAGGTTTTCACTTTAAAGCTCTTACAGTTATTCTCCAAAAACAGAGCAAGAAGATTTTTCAAATCACCCATTAGTATGGCACCATGCTTTGTACATATGGAACAGAACAATAATCACTTCTTCTCATTGGTCTTTGAAGAATTTCTCTTTTCTGACACAGTTGGCAAGCCATCTCAACCTACACCAAGGCTAATCAGCCTACAGCCCTGCCAGTCCACCCCATCCAACAAATGTCCTGCAACAATTGCAACATGTCCCTTAATTATTTAATTGATGATTAGCATGATAAACACAGCAGTTAAGGAGTTGCCTATCAGGTCCTGAAATTGAAATGGATTGGAAGGGCTCCTGTTTGGGTAGCCTTGATCTTGGATCAAGAATAGCATAGTGAGCACAAGGAATAGATTACGCAGGCAACACGTTAAATTAAGAACCTTAAATCTGGTATCTGTCCAGTATCAGTTCTCAAAGCCTTTTCTGAATAAACTGCATTATTTTAGGGTAGCAGCATAAATGTGCTTTTATGCACTCAAGGAATTGCCTCTGAGCTCTCTGCACAATGGTTTGAATTGTTTCAGGCTTCACTGAAGAGCCAGTAGCTGTGGTGATAATCTGATATGCATTTCCTTTAGTCCGTGCTGAGCAAAGTCACCCACCTGATAGTTCGACTTCAGGGACAACACATCATTTGAATGCGTCTTTCTTTTCGAATGCAAAAAGGAAATTAATCTGGCCGGTCAGGTTTGCATATTCCCAAACTTTATCCCAGCTGTGAGTAATCCATCCAACCAAGACAGAACAGGTCCTGAGCTATCAATGTACTGCCTAGTACCTCCTACACACACCGTTCTCCGTATCCTTACTGCAAGGATCTAGGTACGAGGCAGGGCTGTACGGATTGCGTAATGGAGGAAGAAATGGGTGTTGAAATTTCATGTTTTCCACCTGATCACTATGTACAGTGTATGAGCAAAAGAACAAAGCAGCCTTTGGCACAGTTCAGTGGAGTTCAGTGGGGCTCCCCCCAAACTTTCTGATCAGAATTCACACTAATCTGACAACACAACACTGGGGAAAATCAGAGAAAACCACAGGCTGGTGAAACAAGAGAATTTCCTGCTGCAATTCCCACTGGAGACCGGACTGAAAGCTCAAGGGAGGTCAGGGACAGGTGCAATACCTGGCCTCCACTGTGTCAGGAGCTGTGTCCAAACAAGGGCAGCTTGTGTCTGCCTTTGCCCACCTAGCAAAGTCTAGAAAAAGGCTTTTAAGGAAAAACAAGCAGAGGTGCAGTACCGGGCAGCTATGACACACGTTGCAGTAATCGCAGGATGAGAGGAGCAGTCCTTCACTGGGAAGAGCAGAAGGCCGACCTCGACTCTGTTTCTATCTCGCCTCTATTCTAATGTGCTCCTTTCACCCCTCTTCCCTTCCTGATGCAGGCATCCTCTGCCTTCACAGCACGTTGCAAAGGGATGTCCGTACAGCCACTCGCCCAGTGCTACATCCTCACCTCCGCCAAAATATGCCCCCTGCGCCCCCCGCCACAAAGCTATCACAACCACAAAAGAAAAAACAGCGAGAACGGACCCTACAGCAAACCACAGTCGCACGAGCTTCTACCCTGAACACACTTTAAAAAGGACAAGGTAGCCTTAGTTTCACTGTAGTTACCATTGATTTCTATTATCTTTCATTCGAATTAGGGGTGTAATTCTATGACGGGGGAGGGGGAGGGAAGGGGGGCAAGCTGTGATGTCATAGAACCTGAATGAGATCATGGTGAGTGATGTCATAAGCAATGGGTAACTACAGTGAGGGTGTGACCTCTGGCCCCGAGAAGCATATCCATGGGCTCCGCCAGAGACCTGCTCTCTTCTCCAGCCGAGGCCGACTGCAGACGACTCAGAGAGGAGCTGAGCAGAGTGAGGCAGATCGGCAAAAACACGGGAAAACAAGACGACACCGAAGCAGCCACTGACCTATGAACGGGATGGAGGCCAGCGAGTCGTCCTCGATGAGCAGGGGCGCTAAGCTGCCGTTGGCTTGTCGGGTGCTGAAGGGGACTGCGGCGCCCCCCGCTGGGGGGGCTGCACCGTCCTGGGGCTCGGGAGCAAGGCAAGGAGGGTCCTGAGAGTCTACCGGCAGAGTGTAGTGGGGGTGCCGGAGCGCATGGGACGTCCTCCTGCCGGTCGGGGGCTTCTGCCTCAGCACCACCTCCTGAGTGTCCCTGGGAGCCTCCCTCCCCACGGCCACCTCCTCCGCCAGCCTCTCGTGGTTGGTCAGCCGGCGGGCTGCGTCCTGGGGCTCCTCGGGGGTCTGGGCCGGCAGGGGAGGGGTGGACGCGGGGGCCGAGCCGTCGGGGGGGCTGCTCTTGAGAGGCGGCGTCCAGGTGAAGTGGGGTCCAGTGTACGAGGGGTCCCTGAAGGAGTGGGCGTGCATGAGGCGCCCGGTCTTGCGGTAGAAAGAGGGGCTGTAGCTCCGGTATCCCACGGGCTGGTCGTCCGCGTTCTGGGGGGGCAGCCTCCGGGGCTGGGCCGCGGGCTGGGCGTGCTGCTGCTGCGATGCTGGCGGGGGCAGCGGAGGCTGCTGCTGCTGGGCTGGCCGCTGCGGGTGCTGCTGCCGGCCTCCTGCGGGGGGCGCCGGCGTGACCCCATAGTGATTCCCCGGCCTCTGGAAGCCGTCAGTCCGGGTCGGGGCCTGCAGCAGCCAGGCGGGCCGCTCGAACCGGGGCGACACCAGAGCCGCCGCCCGGTCCAGCATCTCCAGCGAGTGGCCGTAGCGGTCGTGCCTGGCGGCCAGCAGGTTTTCGGAGCGGGCGCGGCCCGAGGGCTGGCCG